GTGACCTTCAGCAGAAAAGCACACCTTCCCATGAGTCACGGAACGTAAGCCATTCTCTTGTCCCCTGCTTCCCTGGAAGTCCGCTAGCTCCACCTGATGCTGCTCAGCAACCCATCTCAGTGCCCACCGACTTCAAAGCTGCCATTTAATGTACAATGAATTGCTAGGGACATATCATTCCATCGCTTTTAATTTCGAAGGCACTACTCTGTTTGTTTTGTCAAAGGACCGGGGAAGAAAAGAGAAACCATTGGATGCTTTCAAATCCCCATCCATCCTGACCATCTGAGTACAAAACAGCCCTGTAGGTTTTTGTTTGGCCTGGCCTCTTACCATGCAGCTCTTTCCCTGTAATACAAAGCAGGGACCAGCTTTTTAACACTACATCAGTAAACCTGCAAAACTTCAACGCTTAGCCACAGTTCCAGACCAGTCCAATGCCCGGAAGACCAGCTCTCATTGGAAAGCACAGGCTGCCACCTACTGGCCATGAGCCTTCCAGCCCCACACATGCACACAAGGGTATCTTGGTCTGCTTTCTATTGCTATTATAAAACACCGTGACCAAAAGTAACTTGGAGAGGAACAGGGTTATTTCACCTCACAGCTTCAAGTCCCTCGTGAAGGGAAGTCGGGGCGTGAACTCAAGGCAAGACCTGGATGCAGGAACTGAAGCATGGGTCACAGTGGAAAGCTGATGGTGGCTTGCTGTCCATGGCTTGCTCAGGCTGCTTTCTTACACAACCCAGGACCACCTGCCCAGGGGCGGCACCACCCACAATGAATTTCCCCTTCCCACAAAGACCACTAATCAAGAAAATAACCCACAGGTGTGTCCACGGGCCAACCAATGAGGGTATTTTCTCCATCAAGGTGGCCTCTTCTCAGAAGACTCTAGCTTGAGTTGACAAAAAAGCAACCAACAGGGGCAGCTCATTAATCAACAGTGTCTTCAATTGTATTATTACAATTTTTTCAGTTCGTATAAATTATTTTAACTTCACAAAATAATGCTAAACAGACCTGTTTGTGCAAAACTGAAAAATTCGTGGATTATACTCAGAACAACAGGTTGTTTTTAAAAAGTATTTGGTTTTTGTATTTTGTTCCTTTCTCTCTTTTTTTCCTTCCTGGCATGAATCAGATATGAAATATTTAAGTGGGAGGAAAAACTATTTTCATACATATTTCTCTCCAGCACCCCCAATTACCCTTCAGTCCTGAAAACAGAAGTTGGCCACAGAGCAGTAACTAAACGACCTATCTTCATCAAGTTAGGATTTTTCAAAGATCTGAACGCACACTCCCACGGCAGCTTTTCACACTGAAGCTATCAGTTAATCTGCTGCAGGGCTGGAGCTAAAGATCTACAGATGAAAGACCTACTCATTTGAGAAGACGTGGCTGAGAAATGCCAACAAGAGACAAGTAAGATGCAGTTCACAAGATACAAGAGGTATACGGTGTAAAACAGTCAGTCTTCTTAGAGAGTTAGGAAGAATGCCAGAGACAAACCTAAAAAGAAGAAATTGGTCAGCTTGGGGAAAGAGATCCAGACAATGTACACAAAAATAACAAGGTAGGGGGAACCTGCTCTAACTGAGAATTTACAAGGAGTGGAGTGGATGTGGTTGGGGACCCAGCTAGCTAGATCCCTAACAGCTTCTGCTAATCCTGCTTAAAAAAAAAAAGTGCATCCTAGAGTGACAGCACTTACAGCAGGTAGGGGGAGGTTGGGCCAAAGGACAGATATGACTAAGAAGTGAAATTGCCCAGGAGGAGAAAATCCACACCCTGAAATCTTTCAGTAATATAGAAAGGAGAAAGCTAACTAAAGCTAACTATGAAAACATAGTTAGGGTGGGACAGGCAGGATGAAAAAGAAGAAAGACGGTGGAACAGTGGTTCTCAAACTGTGAGTCATGACCCCTTTGGGGGGGGGTCAAACAACCCTTTCACAGGGGTCACCTAAAGCCATTAGAAAATACAGATATTTACATTACAGTTCATAGCAGTAGCAAACCTACAGTTATGAAGTAGCAATGAAAGTAACTGTATGGTTTGGGTTCACCACAGCATGAGGAACTGTACTGAAGGGTCCCAGCGTTAGGATGGTTGAGAACCGCTGCTCTGTAACTTCCTGGGTTTCTGACTTGAGTAACTAACTGGATGTTATCTAACCATCAAAATAGGAAACATCCCATGAGGTGTGGATTCAGCAGAGGTGTGTATTGAGTTTAACTTTCAAAATGCTGCATTCTAACTGGCTTCCGTTAGTGGCCTTTCTCCTTGCTGTGATGAAATACACGACAAAAGCAACTTAAAGAAGGAGAGGTTTGTTTGGACTCAGCTGGAGAAGTCGCAGTCCACTGTGGTGAAGGTGTCATGGTAGGAGGCGCATGAGGCGGCACGTGACATGGCATCTAGTCAGGAAGCAGAGAGTAATGAGTCCTAGCACCCATTTCTCTTCCAGCTCTTCTCTTCAGTCTGAGATGGTACCATGCACATCCAAGGTGGGTCTTGCTTCCTCAGTTAAACCTCCCTGAACATGTCCTCATGAGTGTGCCCAAAAGTCTGTCTCTGAGGTGATCCTAAATCCACTCAGGTTGGCACTCAAGATAAACCACTGGAACATGGCCAAAAGAATGATGTGTGGTGAACAATGCCTTTAGGAGCTGTGAGAGAGGCTCCAGGAGAAAAGACAGAGGGCTTTTTACCTCAGGTGAATTTTGTTCCTGCTTTGTTCAATTTATAAGACGTGTATATTCTTATTGGATGTCGGACACAGTTCCTGAACCCCATATGGTGAAATGTGTGTGCCGAGTGCTGTCCTCAGTGGACCCTGAGAATCTGGACATGGCCTTGTGCCTCACTTTCGTGCTTCCCCAGATATAATCTATAGTGCATACCACCCGGCTGTTTAAATTGGTCTGTCCTGAGACAGTTCCGAGAAATGGCTGCTCTGTCAATACTGAGTATGTGGTATTTATTGACATGTTTTTCTGAACTCAAACCACCTTCCCTGGACCACTGCTTTCTTTGTTACATGCGTGTATAAAAGTGCACTGACACTGAACTACAGTTGTCTACAGCATTAGACTGTCCGCACCATTTCTTCACGCCCTCATCCCAGGTCTCACGGACATATCTGCATAGGTCAGCAGAGAAGATACTCTCCATACTATGGGACTTTGACATGAAGATTTGAGGTAGAATAGTCAATCTGTGGCTTTCAAGCTTAGGGTAGAGGTGGAGATTAGAGACAGAGATCCAGAAGTTGCTAGTGTGTCAACAGCAGGTAACATGGATGAAATGCCCCAGCCAGAATGGATTCGGCAAAGAATCACACATGTGACCTTGTGGGGAGAACCAGGAAAACTCTCTCCAGGTTAAATGCATCACACTGAGACAGACAGAAAGGGGCTGCCCTTGGCAGCGTGCTACTGCATTGCACAGAGAAAACAAGTTATAGAAAGCATAATTCTGAGTTTTAAATATTAACACATACAAATCTGTGAACATACATTCCAGAGGCACAAATAATCAAGTGTGCCCAGTGCCTATCTCGGGAAATACCTGAGCAATGTTTGCTTTCGCCTGTGTTTTCCTAACGTCCTAAAATAGTCTACAATGTACAAGTTATCTCTCTGAAATCAAATGTGTAAAAGGTTTATTTTTTTTCTTTAGTTTCTAAAGACCTAAAAGTTTCTAGGAGCCTGCACTTTTGAAGACAGCCTTCTGACTTTTCTGTCTCTCAGCAGCTTACAGACCAGAGGAAGCAAAGGATTGGAACCTTATTATCAGTGGTAGAAAATAGAGCACGCTGAATACTCTCAATAACTCACAAGGAACGTGATACTCCATACCTCAGAAATGGTGCAATAGGGAAACCCAATGCTTTTGTTAAAGTTCTTAAAGGCTCTCACTGCCCACCCAGAACACACTTGGGCACTCCACGGCAAAGAGCAACTGTAAGAAGATCAGAGAGATCAACTCCTCCTAAGCCTGAATGTAGCCTGCTTTGCTGTCTCTGAAGTTAGGTAACAGTGAAAGAAGAAATAAAGCAAACAAAGCAGGAGGCACCAGAAAGGCATCATTAACAGTAAAGCTAGAAACACATTCATTAGCAAGTCAGAGGAGTAAGCACTGTTAGAACCACAGCACAGGCTGATGGCTCTATCTCTGAGTGCAAAGACAACGAAGGCAGCACATACGAAGGAATTATGGGCCATGCAAGCGACACAAAGTGGTTGTGAAGGAAGAGTCAGGGAGGCGGCTACAGGCTAGTGGACTTCAACACCAACTTTGCTAGGCTATAGTGCTGTTAGTTTAGTCAAACACAGGTCTCAACACTGTTGTTGAAGAGTTGTCTGTCAGCTACACACAGGCCTCGACACTGTTGAAGAGATGTCTGTTAGCTGCGAAGAACTTTTACGTCAGCAGTTCTAAGTAAAGCAGAGGAGCTTCACAACACAGAAGGGCCTTTCTCTGCTCATCCCCACGTTTTAAGCCCAAATGAAACCGAATGTGGCTTCAAGAATGAACCATAGGAATCCTGCCTGAGTGTCCCTACAGACTGGCCAAATCCGCACAGACATGTGAACCAACGCCGTAATAAAAATTAAATATCTGGCACTAATAGCGACGAAATATACACTCTTACTAACACAGACACATGGGCAGAATCTTGATTTAGTGGCAACAGGGCTCAGCTTGACTACAGTGGCTGTCAAGAGGAAGCCTGAGGTTCTTGCACAGATGAATGATGTGACAATTCGTGTCATGAACTGTTTGGGCGTTTTGCAAATACGTGTAATATAAACTGTATTAGAAGATTCTAGCTAGAACAGAGTTAGAGAAACCCAGGCCATAGAACTCCGCAGGATTCTAAAAGGAACCCAACCAAACAATAGTACAACAGTATTACACATTTGTTTCACATTTTCAAGATCTTCGTGCAAATATTCTACTGAATGCTGTTTGTATAGCTAGTAACTCACCGTATTTGTCCCGCAAACCAACAGTGCATCGGAAGACCCCACCAAAAGCGACGTCTTCACCAAATATTACTGAAAAATGATGTTCAAAGAACATATTTAGTAATCCTCAAATTTTAAGCCATAAAAAATAAGGAACTTAAATAATAAGATTTGAAATTATACATGCACATACATACCGATGGCTGTGCAATACAAAATGTGGTATATGTACGCATAAATCATACATGTATAAGTATATAAACATAATCCTGTGATCTATAATGCACACACGTGTGCACACATACACACACATATATATGCATGTAAGTATGTGTATGCATAAAAAAGTCAACCGAACTTTAAAAATACAGCAAAATCAGGAGGTGCAACAGTTAAGAATGTGCACTGAACTTGTGTAGGAACCAAGTTTGATTCCCAGTACCCATACAAGGCGACTCACCACTGCCTGAAACTCAAGCTCCAGGGAAATCTGACACCTCTAACAATTCCAGCCTCCAAGAGCACACCCACTCAAATGCCCATACAGACACACACAAGCACATAACTAAAAATAAAGTAAATTGTAAAAATAAATAAACATTAAGTTACCTATAAAATTGTTTCAAAGATGTGCCACACATCCACAACCAAATTTTACTCAGCCACAGGAATAATGAAATCATGACATTGGTGGAACCAGAAATCATTACAGTGGGTAAAATAAACCAGACTCAGAAAGATAAAATGTATCTCCTCTGCTTTCTCTCATATACAAATCATAGCTTTCTAGGTTTAAGTGTATGTGTATGTGTGTGTGTTTGTCTGAGTCTGTGTGTTTGTGTGTCTGTCTGTCTGTGTGTGTGTGTGTGTGTGAGAGAGAGAGAGAGAGAGAGAGAGAGAGAGAGAGACCAGCCAGAAAGGTTATCCTGAGAAGATTGGAACAGATTTTAGGGGAGGTGAGAGAAAGAGAGGAATGAAATTTGACATGAAAGCAGAATGGGGCAAACTGCAGGGAGGAAAGCAAGAGTGGAGAAAGTGGGTGTGGAGAAGGAGGCACATTAGAGCACAGTAGATATGAAAATGCCACAGTAAATCCCACTGCTTTGTACGGCAACTTAAAAATTGATTTTAAAAACACAAAGTACTAAAATCATTATTTCCAAAAAATATTAACAAGCCCAACGTAAGAACAACCATAAACACATATAAATAAATCTTTAGGGTATATATAAATATATAAAGAAAGTGGCACTTCCTATACACTAGACAAACAGGAGTAGCGAGGGGTATCAGTCAAAAAGCAAATAATCAAGGGGCCGTACATGACGTCAAGAGCATGTTAAAAAGAGATATAACAAAGATATACAGAACGTGTCAGAAATGAGCGGGTCAATGTGTGGTAACACTGCAAGTGGAGCCTTGCGCTTTGATGATTTGCTACCTGAGCAGTTCCAACCTCGCCAGCTCCGGGAGGAACAGAGCTACACACGGGCATGAGGTTTACCTGCAGTGGGGTCTTTCGCCAGTGAGTTATCCAAGGCACTTGTTATTGACTGGAAGAGGTTCATTTTCTGAGTTTGCCCTGTGAAAAGTAACGTTATATTGTATCAAAACTTGTAACATATGTTTAAAAAAATAACAGTTTCTTAACAGTTGGTTATAACATGGTTTAAAAGAAAAAAGGAAAAAAAAAAAGCAAGGTAGAAAGAAAGGTACAGAATCTATCACAGGAATTTGCCAACTTATTTGCAGAGATGGGAGATCTAGATGGCAACTGCAACTTTCAGTAGAAAAGGAGAAAGGAGGAGCCTGAGCTTGTTATATGAGAGCACCCGAGACAGGTGTTATGAACCAAAGGCTTAGAGAAGCCACATGACCAGTAGCCTAGGTTGAAACTGCTGACAGCAGCAAATGGCCATCGCCCTGAAACAGTAAGGAAGGCTAAAGATAAACTTTGGTATGCAGAACTGTTGGTGTTTGAAGAATACTGTAATCTCTTCCCCAAACACGTCACACTTAGTCGTTCCTATTGTCCTGTTGCTTAACTAAAATTTCTACAGGCCAATGCCTGTCTCTATAAATAGACTTTATGATGGGAGTATATGGGGCAATTCAGGGAAGGAACTTAAGATAGTGCTCTGTAAACCAACCCTGCCCTGGAAGATTCCACCAAAGCCAACATCTTCAGCAAATATTACAGAAAAATGATGTCCAAGGAATACATTTGGTAATCCTTAAATGCAGAGTGAAAGCTAGCTATTGGTCGTCGGCTCCAGGATAGAGCACGACCCTCTCACCTTCATTATTCTGAGCGGCACGTGAAAATCTCTATCTGTTAGAATTCCTAACGCTGCAAATTAATAATAAGTGTGACTTTAGAGCTGTGAGCAAACTAAACGCTGGCAGGGGAAGCCCACAATTACTGGAACCACCTGCTCAGCCTTCTAGTGCAATTACAGTCAAGAAAACACCCATACAGGCTGCCCATACAACAATATCTGATTTAAGCAATTCCCCTAAGCCAACTCCTCTCCAGAAGCACAGACGGGCTTCAGATGAAACTTCTGACAAACAGATCCATCCTTACCTTAGCACTCTATCTATCTCCAATTCCCGCCCCAACCCTGCCTATTTTCCCTCTAACCTCCATACTATTTTAGTCACCTAATGTGAACCAAAGTCGAGGTCTAATTACCAGCAGGGGACATAACAGCTCATGCTGCTGGCTTCAAACCTCTGCTCACTCACCCTTTCCTCTTCTTCCTTAGCCCACCAGACTCTTCAGTGAGCTCTGACTTCTGCCATCTTTTAAGCTTTCTACTGTTCTCTCAGCCCAGCCTCTGGCATGCTCCTGCTTGACCTCAGCTGTCTCCGATCATTTCAGTACTGCCGCATGCCCAAGCTTCAGGCTTTGGCAGTCCCCTATCAGAATACCTTGCTTCCCTCTGCACCCAAAATAATGGCCTGTTTATACACCTGTTTCTAAAGACAATAAAAATTCATTCAGAAAGTACCATTGTATCAGCCATGTCAAAAAAAAAAAAAAAAAAAAAAACACACAATCACACTAAATGTCCAGAATAAGTTCATAAAGTATTTTTCTTCAGGCTACAGTTGTATCATTCAATAGTTACCTTAAATCTCTCTGTGCCCTACTGTTACAGTTTGCTTCCCTGTTGCTGTAATTAACACCATGACCAAAAGCAACTCAGGGAAGAAAATGTTTATTTAAACTTACAGGCTATGGTGTACCAGGGCGGAAGGTCCGGGCAGGAACCCAGGAGCAGGAAGCACAGAGAGAATGCAGCTTAACTGGCTTGCCTTTCGGATTCCTTATACAAGCCAGGACCACCTGCTCAGCCTTCTATAGCAATTACAATCAAGAAAACACTAACACAGTCTGCCCATATGACAATATCTGGTTGAAGCAATGCTCTTAGGCTGTGTCAAGTTGATAGCTGACATTAACCAGAAGACCTATCTATGCTCTAAGAAGACCTATCTACGCTCTAAAGTTTTTAGTGGTACAAAACATAACAGTTTAGGATAAACATTTTTCCTAATGACAATAACATACCTACTCTCTCCTACCTCATACACGTAAAAAAAAAAAAAAAAAAAAGTAATAATTTTGCTTATTTATTAAGATTTTCATAGTTAAGAACCTAAGGAGAATAAGAATGTCTTAAGAGCAAACATTCTTTTCATTTTAATCCTGCAGACCACTGGAATTAATAGCAAATGCCACCACAAGACCTTTCTCTTCCAGAGCTAGGTCCAACCCATTCGCTAGCCAAGTGCTCCACCTTTGAGCTCCACTCCCAACGCTCTTGATTCATCTTATCATGTTGCTGCTCAGCGAGTTTTTTACTAGAAGAAGATCAAAGTCATACAACTCTGAGGCAGGAGGACTGTGAGATCAAGGCTACCCAACAAGCTCCCTAGAATGTATTCTTGACACTATAAAAAATAACCTCACCTTATGGGAAATCACTTACAAGTTATTTATGTTTCCATGTCAGCACTAGTGAAAATTATATATTTTTTGCAGGTTGGAAGGACTCTTCGGTACTATGACAACTGATAAATGACAATTTTGATACAGTAACATATACTTTCAGTTCTTTTTAAAGCTGAAGCACGGGTGGAACAGAAGAAACTATGATTCACAGGCACAGTTTTATTTTATAGTCTCACTGTGCAGCTGGTCTCAAATTTAAGATCATCCTGTCTCAGCCTCCACATACCCTGTTCTTCTAGATTTGCTGTCCATTTTCCTGCCAGCTACCCTTATCCTTCTCTAATCCCATCAAAACATGTCCCACAACTAAAGATTCTAGAGAACCCCAAACTAAACACACAACCACAGACAGACAGGTAGGCAGGCAGGTAGAGACAGATAGATACATACACAGTTTGTACTGTAATGTAAATGAAAGGGCTTGGATGCAGCTCAATGACAGAAAGCTTGCCCAGCATGCATGCATCATTTTACTCACCAGTACCAAAAATTAACAAGAACAAAAGAAGTTAAAAAAAAAAAAACTTTATAAATCCAATAATGTGTCTCTGTGCCTGTGTGATTCCTATGAAAGGCAGTATCTTGTGTCTTTCTTTATTGCTCTCTCCTTTTTTGTTTTGTTTTGTTTTGTTTTGTTTTGTTTTGTTTGGGGGGTTGTTGTTTTGTTTTAATTTGTTTTGTTGACACTTTGTAGCCCTAGCTGGCCTCAAACACACAGACATCCGCCTTGCCCTGCCTCCAAGTGCTGGGATTAAAGGCTTGTGGCACAACACCCAGACCCACTGGACTGAAAGCTTACCAAATGGCTAGACTGATTGGCCAGATAGCTCTAGGATCCTCCTGTATCAACCTCCTGAACGGTGATTACAGGCAATCCTCTGTCACCTCCAGGTTTTTAATCACAACACTTGAGGCAGAAGTAGGCAGACCTCTGGGTTCAAAGCTAGCCTGGTCAGTAGAGTAAGTTCCAGAGCAGCCCAACTCCTATGAGTCATGTCACTCCCTACCCCACATCACTCCTCTGACTACACTAGAATAATCCCCACTCCTTGCACATCCACACAGCCCTGCTGAATCCCATACCTGCCCAGCTGAACTGTGCTATTTTGCGTCACTGGTTATAAGGTTCACCACTGAAGTCTTCTCTCGTTCCATATGTAAGCTCCCTGCTGCCTCAGAACCTACACACAGGAACCCCTCCAGCCAGAATCTCTTTCTCACACCTCTGGGTGCCTTTCTAAAGCCTTGGATGAACGTCTTGGGAGCCGAGATCGATCTGTCTTATCCTTTCTTAGCACTGGAATATTACTCAATGGTCACTGACAGCAGTAGGCATTGGCTTAATTATATGCTTCCTTGCTATTTTCTGCCCAGACTATAAATTCCAGGAGGACAGAGCCATGGCCATGTCCAAAGCATCTAGCAGTCTAGCATCCATAAAGAAATAAAGATGAGCGGAACGAATTAGTTAACAAGCTCACACATGTGCACAATTACAGGACCCTGGAACGAAGAGAGGCCAGGATAAAATGTGGAACTCACTGTAATGCAGGCAGTGCACACGAAGACAGGCTTGGCCTGGGGTCTGCTTAGTTACTTATTCTGTGTGACCTAGTGAAAGCTGCTTAAGCTGCTGACATTCGATTTCCTGCTCTGTAAAACTAAAAACAATGATACCTAATGTATGGGACCATCGTGAAAAACCTGTGAGGTGATGCCTATCAAGCACGCAACAGTCAGAGTTTCCACTCCTTGTTCATATCTACCTCTTGTTCCCCCTGCCTCCAGAGTCGTATTCTAGTCCCCCAGCTGTTGGGCACCAATAACTACACGGGTCACCTCACTAAGTTCTCACAGTACAGATGAGGGCAGTAAAGGATACATAGATTAATGTCAAGGCTGCCAATACAAAGCTGCCAAGGAAGGAATACAATTCAGGCATGTGCCGGCTCACACCTAAATCACCAGCACTTGGGAGGCTGAGGCAAGAGGATCACCATGAGTTTGAGGCCAGCTGGACCTATGTGGTGATTTCTTGGACACCCTGAGATACAGTGTAAGAATTTTTTCTTTAAAAGAGAGAAGGAATCGAGAAAGGGAGGGAGGGAGAAAGGGAGGGAGGGAAACAGAGAGGAAGAGAGGGAGGGAGGGAGGGAGGAAGGAAGAGACAGAGGGACACCTCCCAACTTCTGAATGATACTGCCTCTGAAATGCCAAAATCAAAAATGAGATTAATAAAAATAATTAATCGAGTCCCTGAATGATCAAAAAGCACCTGAAGGCAGTCGGTGAAGGACCTAAGAGAGAAGAGTCAGTCCCCACTGAGATACGCAAGAAGCAGGGTCACCTGGCAGCCCGGCTGAACCTCTCACATTTAAGTGCCTGAAAGCAGAAACTTACCATCTTTGTGTCTCGCTTCTCCATTCATTCTTAAAGTGTGAATGATAACAGGACCTCCAGCACAGCCCTGTCTCACAGGGTCACATTTTGGGCAATACCAAATCCAACAGGTCAGAGAATGAATTATCTGGCCTCAGGGGCCATCAAGCTGTTTCAATGGCAGACTAACATTCAGACAGCCTGCCTCAAGGCAGTACATCTACCAATACACTTCAACTCATGGTAAAATTTAAGTCACTTTGCACTCTCCCTTTCTATGAAGATGGGAATCTACCCCAGAAGTCCTTGCTCGGATCAGTGGCTCTGGCACCCCACCCTCATCAGACAAACTGTCAACCTGACAGGATCTGGAGTCACTTTGGAGGCAAGCCTCAAGACACAACTGTGAGGGATCGCCTAGAGGAGGTAGTGAGGTGCCCACAGCACCAATTCCTGGGCTTTGGACTGCAGGAAAAGGAAAAAAGACTGAGTTCTAGCACTCATCCCACTCTGCTTCCTGAGATGTAACATGACCAGCTTCCTCAGGTTTGAGGCACACAACAGGCCTGTGATACGTTCTCTCCCCAAACTTTGTCCTAAATTTCAAAGCCTCTATTGACACTTTTAGATGTCTTCCTTTTCCCTCCAAATAAATTCATTTCCCATTGCTCAAATAAACATTATGCTTCCTACTCTAGCTTTATTCGTGATATTCCCACCCCTGTAGTACTGAAAAGATGATCCTCATGAACAAAAGGCCTTGGTCTACCCCTGATCATCATGGACCTGCAGACCCCACTATCCAAAACATTTCACTCATTGAGGTTTTCTCTGTTGATACAATGCAGGATGAGCCTATGAATAGGCCTTAGACCTACTCCAACTTTTTTTGCCTGAAAAATAATTGTCCAATGGCCTTTGCAGGAATAAGTTCTTATTCCAGTTCACTGTACAGCTTAAAGTTACCTGCTCAAGGTTGATCCTAGCCACCAGCTGAAGCAGTCCCTTTTCCATGTGAGAGCAAACAAGATTGGTGAACGAAAAGCATTTGCAGCACGTGTGAAAGGCAGTCAGTATCTGCATCGACAGCCGTAATATGCAAAGCTTTAGCACAAAGAGCTTAGAGTCGGACACAGTGGGGTTGGAAAGCTGACTCTGCCCTTTACCATTCTTGGGAAGGCCACAAACATCTCTGGGCCTCAACTGCCTCACCTATGCAATGAACACAACACCAGCTAGCTCACAGGATTACTATGACAATAACAGACTGATGCCTACAAGACCTGCATAAAAAGTAATTAATAATGGAGGCTAGCGTCCAAATCAGTAGGAGAAAAGGCTAAGGGCACAACTTTCAAAATATGAAGGGGGAAAAAAAAACCGAATACTCAAGTCACTCATGAACTAATGAGCAAATGTTAGGGAAAGCATCCTTCAGCAGAAGGGAGACAAATGCAAACACAAGCTGCAATGGTTAGTACAAAATCCCAGAGCTGTATACCTGGAATTTTCAGCATTAACCCCTGACACACTCGTATACTCTCACACTTAATACACCAAACACTCTTATACAGACTAGGTGTAAACTGGGCATTTTAAAACTCCATTAAGCCATTCATATTTTTGAGTGAGAACTCTAGTCTCTGGGGCTCTATCATGGAGGCAGGGGAACCAGAAGGTTGGAATGTTTCCATCTGCATTTTTTTATATAACGCTATGAAACTATAACAAACACATTGAACTTTTCCCTTCCCTGAGTTAATACTTCTGAGCGGATGTCCTTATTCACACCTTAGCTCTCCTCTCCCTTTGAAGTAGCTATTACCATTAATCCCATAATCACAGAGAACTGAGGGCTTGAAGAAGTTATGACTTCAAAGTCTCAGGACCAAACTCAAGACACTGACTCTCACTACTGAATTCTACATGAGGTCACCAAAAACTCTACAGCATTACGGGACTTTTTTCTAATTAACGCAAATTTGGCTTGCATTGAAACTACAATTGTGAAAAAATTCAGTGAGCTGGAAGGATGAACCTCAAAAGTTTAGCAGCTTTCACTATTAGTGGGACAGTCAAGTTTTTTACTTTTGCTAAACTATGCCTTTTATCTGAAATAGGCTTATACTGTTTTTATAGTGACAACATAGAGACATGACATCACTCGGATTTTAGTAATTTCACAATTGTGGAAGGGAGAATTAGGAAGACCTGTGCTCTATTTCTCTCTAACTAGGCCAAAGTTTCTTTGCTGTAAAACCAGTACTGAAGGCTGGACGAGAAAATGAGCTACTATTCATCTTTCTACTGTCTACTCTTTAATAAAACTAGCGAACCTGATCAAAATTATTTCTAAATGCCACTTACTGCCTTACAGAGTGGCAGGTCTAAAGTCCGGCTTACAGATTCCAAACTTAAAGCTATTTGCCATGAACTTGTATCTTGTGTATTCTTAAATAATCTGCCTCCAGTTTATCTAACTGCAAAGGAACTGAAACATGACCTAGATCCCATGAAATTTAAACCTATCCTACGAACCGAATGAAATGAGGAATGTAAATTTCGCCAATAGCAAGCTTTCAATAAATATGCAATTACTGTTCACAAATAAAGATAGGCTTCCAAAAACGCCAGCCCCAGTGTGGAAGAAGCTACTAGACAAGAAAATGGGACCGGTTTCCTTACTTCTCTCCTGATAACTCTTCAGACAGACTGGAATTTCAGGCTATTACACAGAACTTGCAGCAAGAGCAGTCAGAGTGTAGCAAAGGCAGCACAGAAGGAGCCTGCCCCATGCCCTTCCACGCGCTCTTCCCCAGCATTACCTCTGCTTGGACAAGTGGCAGCAGGGCCCAGCAGGAGCTCTGCATTAGGTTCAATAGAAGTCTGGATTCCTTCCCATCTCTAGGCACAACCTGTTTTGTGACCTTGAGAAAATCAAATTCTGTTATTTTACTCCCCAGGTTTACACTTTCCTTCCAAATAGGGAGGAAATGAAGAAAGAAAGAATTTTACAGGCAGCTGCCTCAAGTTAGTGACCCACAAGCTAACACCTAAGGCCTGATATGGGAAAGCAGAGACGGAACTCAGAGAAAAGGGGCCGCTGTTTGGACATTTCTGCACCCTCGGGCCCTCGCAGAAGGCAGAGTGCCCTCTCACCTATGTTGAAGGTGCCCGGGGGTTGCATCTGAGTCACCAAGGCAGAGCAACGAGATCATAAGCCGACCCGAACCAGGGAGGTTCTAGACTTTAAAGCAAGTCAGGGGAGGACCGGGGATGCGGGGAGATGGCCAGGTCTCACCATACTGCAGGGACTCTGGGTCCGGCTGGAAAGTGAAGTGGGCCACCCGCCGCTTCTGGGCCGCGTCCTCGCCCCCGGGTTGCAGGAAGCCTTGCACCCGCCCAGCGCAGCGCAGTCCGCCCCACCGCCGCTCCGCTCCCGCAGCCCCCAGTCGCAGCAGCCCACCGGCTCGCGCAGCCGCTGCCGCCGCCGCCATCCCCAGGTCTCCGGCACCGCAGCCCCACGCTGCCGGCAGGCAGGGCGGAGCTGCCGTGCGGGCTTCCTCATTGGGCGGACCCGAGGGGCGGGCCCGTGAAAGAGACCAATCGGAGGTGGAAGATCGGGGGCGGGGACGAAGACGCTGTGTGTGACCTGCAGGCAGGCACAGACGGAAGTCCTACCCAGGCCCCTGCAGCTTGGGACGCGGCCCCCTGGATGGCAAGACACCCCCAGAATCAGCTGCCCGCAAGGTCAAACACCGCAACTGGCTGTGTTCTTATCCAGGGTCATTTTCATGCTGACATTTTCAGTAGCTTTTTCGTTTTAAAAGTTGTGCTTCCTCCTGTTTTTCTCATGGTCTGTGAGTGCAGGATGGTAACTGTGATTGCACAGACAGGCATTGGTTTCAGAAAAACCCTAGAATTCCTGGAAAAGCCTTCATTCATATTTTGAAATAATATTGAGATAGATAGATACATAGATACATAGATAGATTTTATAAATTTATTTTGTTTTTCTTGATTTAGATCATAGCCAAAAAAAAAAAAAAAAAAGGTAAGTAGAGATTTCGGATATCAAACCCACTAGAAATTCTTGCCAAGGTGCAGCAAAAATTACCTGATGGCCTTACGCCATGAAACTTAGAAACGTGTAAAAGTTAAATGACTAATTTAGATTTAAAATAATAAACCTTATAAATTTTATTTTAAAATATTCGAGTGTTAAAATATGTATCTTCAGCCAGGCGCGAGGGCGCACGCCTGTAATCCCAGCACTCTGGAAAGCAGAGGCAGGCGGATCTCTGTAAATTTGAGACCAGCCTGGTCTACCAAGCGAGTGCAGGACAGCCCAGGGCTACACACCTTGTCTCAGAAAAAGAAAAAAAAAAAAAAAAAGTATATGTCTTCCTTGGCTATGAGTTAGAAAATAGCCAGAAAAAAAATAAAACACAAAAGAAACAAAAAAGAGTGTCTAGATTCTAAAGGAAGTATTACAGCGTGGAAGAAGGACTTTGGTGACAGACAGAGAAGGAAAAGGAACCAGAAAGGAGCACGCCTCTTGAAATATGTGTGACCTCTTAACAGAGCTTTGGTTTAGCTAAGAGGTGAGGGATCAGCAGAAATGGGATTTTAAATGCTCGAAAATGGCACACAAAAGAGGCCACTCAGACAATGACACGATCAAAACTGATAAGGTGCTTAGAAGGGCATGAAGAGGAACATGCTTTTGAAGTTTCCAGAAGTAAGGCTGGCCTGGACCCAGAAGATTAGAAGTCACGAGGCAGAGTAAAAAGATAGTCTTCCCAGACAGGTGAGATGGGTACAAGGTTTCACAGGCATGAAAGAATAAACTGCTCTCCAGAGAGAGAGAAAAGAAATGCCTGTTGCGGGGCTGAGAGCCCAGCCCAGCACGGCCCCCATCTGCAGTCACACCTCATTGATCTTAGTTTGGGAAGGTGAAGGTTCTTTTCGGGGAGTCAGGCTATCTTTAAATGCCTCTGCAAAGTGCAAAAATTGGAACTTTCCAATAATTTTATAATCTAAAAGGAGATGCAGAAATTTGGAATTTCTGATGGCATAGACCTGGGTTCTTTAATATCCTTCAAATGCATTATCTTCTTTGCTTGAGTCGCTTCCACTTGGGATTCTGACTAACCCAAAGGAACATGGGGAACCTGTGGAGATGGAGCCAGCAGACAGATCAAAGTTGCTGTTCTCTCTTCAGAATGATTCTTGGATTGCTTTCTCTCGCAGAACTTCACTAGCTATTCAGTCTACTCCTGCTGAGACTTGTCTTGCTTTTGGACCAGCGATCAAATATAGAAGGTAATACTTTCTTTGCAGATGGAATCAGAGGAGTATCACTACCCTCAAGCTAACATGACATACAGAACAGCAAAGTGTTTCTCCCATGTGTCCAGGAAGCATGCGAATGTGGCATCCACGACTAGGAACCTTGGAGAGATTTGGCAGTTAAAATAATAATAGATTTGTGACAGAATTTATTGTCATATGTAAATACACTCTTTAAACTCAACATTTTAAAAAGACACATTAGTCAGTGAAACCTAAGCAGAAAGGATTGGGGTATGGCTGAGAAGATAAAAGTGCTTGCTGCCAAGCCTGATGACCTGAGTTCAAACCCTGCAGCTCACATGGTGAAAGAGAAATGACTCCTGAAAGTTGCCCTCTGACCTACACAGAATGCTATGGCATGTATGCAGTCACAGGTGTTCATAAACACGGGCGTGCACACAAAGTGTAAAAAAAAAAAAAAAAAATGAGAGAGAACTAACTTGGCCAGAGACTTGCTTATCCTGATTAGACTTTCTGTGAATTCAACACAAGACAATAGGGTCACCTGGGAAGAAGGAGCCTCAATTGAGAAAACGCTTCTGTTAGATTAGCCTACACAAAAGACTGTGGGCCATTTTCTTGTTTAATGATTGGTGTGAGTGGCCCCACAGTGTTGTGGACTGTGCTACCCCTGTTAAGTTGTCCTGCTATGTGTTAAGAAAGCAGGCTAAGCCAAGAGGAGCAAGTCAGTGAGTAGTATTTCTCCATGGCTTCTGCTTCAGTTTCTGCCTCCAAGTTCCAGCCTTGAGTTCCTGTTTTGGCTTTTCTGGATGATGGGATACAAACTGTAAACTAAAATAAACACTTTCCACCACATTGGCCATGGTGTTTTGTTGCAGCAATAGGAACCAAACTAAGACAAGATTTTGCTTGTGAGAAAGCAAAATAGAACAGCTACATTGGGAGACATTTGGTAGTTTCTTACAAAATTATATACACTTACAATATAAGCTATCAGTCACACCTCTTGATATTTTCTCAAGTGACTTAGAAATTCAAGTCAACATGATGCCTTTTGTTTTTCTTTGGTAGACAGGGACTCCTGTAGCCCATCCTGGCCAAGAATTCAGCAGACAGTCAAAGATGACATTTAATTCAAGTTCTTCCAACCTCTGCCTACCAAGTACCGGGGTTATAGCATGGGCACCATGTCTGGCTTTGCAAAAATATTATAACAGCTTTGTTTGTGCTTGCCAAACTTGGAGGCAAAGAAAGTAAACTTCAGTCAGTGACTACATGAGTAAACAGTGGTACTTTCAGGCAGTAGAATACTATTCAGGAGCAAAGGAAAGTTAAATGCAAATGAAAAAATGTGAGACAAGTTGTGATGGCTTTTTTGTTGGTCAACGTGACTATATCTGGAATTAACATAGAATAAAAAATAATAATTAAAAAAACATCTGGAACACCTGTAAGAGGTTTTTGCTTAATTGAGTTTGAGGCCAGCCTGGTCTACAGAGTGAGTTCCAGGGCACCCAGAGCTACACAGGGAAACTCTGTCCATTGCTATGAAGAACACCACAATCAAGCAACTTAAAGAAGAGTTTATTGGGGGTTTGCTTACAGTTTCAGAGGGTTATTACATGATGTTCATGCCCAGAAGCATGACAGCAGGCAAGCAGGCATGGCACTAGAGCAGTAACTAAAGCTCACATCCTTATCTGCAAGCGCAAAGCAGAGAGGGAGAGAAGGAAAGGGAGGGAGGGGGTTAACTAAGAAAGGCATAAGCTTTTGAAATCTTAGAGCTAACTCCCAGAGACTCACTTCCTCCAACGATGCCCCACCTAATGCTTCCCAAACAGTTCCACCAACTGGACACCAGGCATACAAATGTATGAGCTTATGGAAGATATCCTTATTCAAACCACCGCAGAAGCAATCTAAATCAAATAATGATAACAGTTGTACAACCTTGAGAATATACTAAGAAACCATGGAACTGCATCATTTGCATTGATCAAATTCAGTTTCTCCCCAACAAAGCTAATATGATGACGTAATGTACTAATACAGCAATACTAACAATCAGGCCTTTGACAGTTGATCAGGTTATGTCAGAGCTGTCATGAGAATATCAATTTAACTATAGTGAGAAAACTCTTACTCAGAGGAACGGATTAGTTACTGAAGGAATGGGATGTTAAACAGGAAGTTGGTGCCCTTGGTTTCCTCTTGCCTCATCTCTCAACAAGCAAATTCTTTTCATACTCACTTGCCCTGTTATTCTCTCACTGTAATGGAATCAACATGGGCCCTTTACAAGATGCTAAGTGGATGCTAGTGCAGTGCTCTTGGACCCACAAAACAAGAGGAAGGGAGCTCTATTTTAGACTCCTTGAGTCTTGGAGGTCCATGGCCAGGAACCATCTTGAGATATTTTCATTTTAAAACTGAGCTGTTTTGTTGTTTAAAAGAAGGAACAAATATAAGTCGTAAATACTGGGAACAATTTTCCATATTCCCAGAGTGCAGTCAAGCCATGGAAGACAGTTGCGCAGGGGAGGGAGGGAGGTGGAACTGTAGTAAAACTTTTGTAATTATGGGTTCTTTTAAAAATACACCAATATTATAAGAATACGTTTTAATTTTAATCCCGGGTGTGGGGATCTTGGAGGCTGTTTCACGGCAGCTGACTGTGATTTGCCTCAAGCTCTGGCAGGGGCATGGTTTTACCAGCTTCAGATAGTTTCTGTGAGTGTGTGATATTCGGAATTCTGGGGACTTTTCAGAGGACATATAAGTACTAAAGCACCAACAAGCTTAACTGTTGGTGGTTGTTGATGGTTGCTGTTGGCTGTACTTCGTCAAGTAGTAGAGCACAAAGAAGTGAGAAGACAAAATGAGATATCCTGACAGTGAAGATCAAACTTGCCCCAAGGGACAACACACCCCTGATCAACAGGAAGTAGTTTAATGATAACATCACTGCCTTTCCTCTCTATCTTTTTTTCTCTCATAACTATTGTTAGGGGGTTGAAAGAGGGAAAAAAAAATGAAGGGGTGAAGAAGGGTGAAAGAGGGAAAGAAAAACCCACAAAGTAGAAGAAAACAAAACAAGAAAAGAGAAAACACTGCTTAAGTGACACCCAAATGATGGCTTAGACGGAACAGAAACTCTGATTCTTAATATCATTGAGAAAATGGCAGGGAATGAAGGA